GCGAGTCGAGTAGTATCGTGACAGTGGTCTGTGCGACGTGTTCGTCCTTTTATTTTACTTTTGAAGTTGAAGAATAAAATATGTGATCGTACCTATATGTTTGCCTTACCTTTTATTTTGTTTATTTTTAAAAAAAAAAACTCTTGATCGCTCGCGATCTCTGAGAGTACCCCAATACAACAATACAAATCTTTGAATACTCTTAAGGTTCGAAGGAATGCAATTTATTTAACATAATATTATAATATTAAAACATTTTTTTTCTAAACTATTTCATAAAAGTTAACATTTATTTTATATTTCTCTTGTTGCATAATAAATTAATATTAAATATGTTGTCGTATCGTCATTAAAATAGTTGAATATAGATTATAGATGAATGACCAACTTCGTGGGCACGGCAATGTTATCTCAATAATCGTATTTAATAAAGTCATTAAATTAATCGTTGGTTATTATTTATTGTTCATCAAGTATAAAATATATCTAAAAAATATTTAAACCATAATATAGTTTATGGTTTTAGTTTTGGCGAGTTAATTATTTTGTCCCCCCTAGATTTTTATCCAGTTACGTTATTGGTGTACTTGATGCACATACTCAAAAGATAAAAAGTTTCCATAAGACGCTAAAGAGGCTAAAAATTGTAAAGCGTAGTAGAATTCGAGAGTCAATGACGTAACTGGATAAGAATCTATGGGGGCAAAATAACTTATGAATCAAAATAAAAACACTGACCCTACTTCCCCAAGGGGTCTTGTCTTAAAACTAGTGATGGGCACTACCGAATAGTTTACACTATCGAATAGTATTCGATAGTTTGAATAAACTATCGAATATCTATTCAAATGTTTTTTACATAACCGAATAATAGTTTTTAAATAAAAACTATCGAATAGGTTGATAAACTATCGAATAGTTCGAATAAGTTTCAATTTCAAATAGTTTTACTATGGAGATGGACTATTCCAATATTTCAAATGTAATATAACATGATTATATCGACTGCCGCAACGAAAACTGTCGTAACTCAATTTTTATCAATTTTGAGTTGATAACGAAAACGAATTCTCCTCTATTTTCTATATCTCCGACGACCACAATTATTATTAAAACTTGGTCAAAGAGAATAGAAAAACTTGAAATTATAATGCCATAGAAAACAGTGGTATCAGCGAAGAAAGTTGTAACTTGAGTTACGACTACATTATTCACGCCCAGTTATTGATTACAGTTTTGGCGCCAAAGTGTATTATCAGTCATAATTTAAAGCACGTGAATTTTATATTTTATTGTTCTAAAATTTTTATTACTCGTATTATTAAAATAATTATGTTCATCATTATAATAATATAATAGAGTATAATACTACAGTCTACAATGGATGCAATAAATGAAGTAAGTACCCTTTATTAAGTATTGTTATGATAATAATAATATAATATTATTATCTACCGCAAAAATATACGTAGAAAGCATGTCTTCACAAGAAGAAATTGTGACTTTTAAATAATATCTAAATGTTAATCTTTTAAATAATATATTAAAACATATTTTACAGAATTTAAGTAATGATGATTCAGACTGTTTAAGCACTTATGAGTATGGATGCATAAGTAGTGATGACTATGATGATGATCCAGACTACATACCTGTCAATTCTAATAATATTGACTCTACAAATAAGGTAGTAAATATTATTATCTATCTACTACTTGATTATTATTATCAAGGTGGTTAAGTTATGAATATTAAGCTATAATAATATTATGTTAATAGTTTAATAATATAGAGTTAGTTAATATTATAGAAACAAAGTATTTATTTTTAACCACCACCTAGGTCACATAATATTAGATTTTTACATACAATATTTTAAAAATAATCACTAAATATTATAAAATGCATCTCATTCCTTCTTATTACATACTAGCTGTAGTGATTAAATTAATTTGTTTTAAGTTAAGTTGTAGATCCTAGATAATACCTACCTACATAAAAACATGATTTTAACTTGCTATAATTATTTTTCAATTTTTCAATTGGAAAAAGCTAAGTAATAACTATGGATTCTTAACTAGTCGAATTATTAGCTTAATTTAAAATTCATATTATCAACTACCTAGTTGTAAAGTTAAAAAAAATTAACTTTACTATTTGTTCGTATTTGTACCTTTGATTATTAATATTATTGAGATTAAAATATATTATGAACCACAAGTATTTGGAATTTGAAACTTGCTATTTTTTTTACTTTGAATCAATTTAACAATTTTAACATTATAATATTATTATATTTAAAATCATGCATATTTTTCTTAAAATAGGTATATTGTAGGATTCGATTTATTAAAAATTATATTCCCTGTAATTCTGTAGATTTCAAAGATATCATTAATTTACAATCTTTACTTTAGTTGAGTAATAATTAAACTTGGTTATGACAATATTATTAGACAGTGGCGTCATTTCAGTTTTCAATAGAGGGGGGCAAAGGTTTTGACCGGCCCGAATGGGTAAAAAAAAAACCGCTCCCTTCGCTCGCAACCACATATTATCTAAATACATTTTTTTTAGTACCCTTTTAATTAAATAGATGGGTAACATCATTTTTAAACATGAGGCAACAGATATTTTATAAAAACTATTGTATACCTATATCAGTTAAAAGTCTATTAACTATTATAATATGGCAATATTTATATTTATAAACAAAAATATTAGTAGTTTATTGGGATATCTTACAATGTATACGTCTGAATATAAATATATTCGAACTATTAATTAGTAAAAATGTATCATTGTGACAATAATTTCTTAGTACATAGCACCTATAATATTTTCTGAAAATATCATAAATTAGGCAAGTTTTTGCGCTAATAAAATATAAGAATGGTAAAACGGCAACAACTGGGCACCGGCCCATCGGGCCGATTTTAAAATCAGACAGGGGCAAATGCCCACCTTGCCCCCCCTCAAATGACGCCACTGTTATTAGATATGCATACTTAATAATATATTTTTTAGAACTAGGTATTATTTATTAAATTCTAATAACTGCTTATAATATTATAGGTTGAGAATCAAAAAAATAGTCAAGAAGAAGAAGTAGGAGAAGATTTGAAATATTGTAGTCTTCCTAACAACGTAAGTAATCATTTATATTTCCAACTGTAATTGATTGACCAATCAATGAAATCAAACTATAATATTAATATCTATAGGATACGGTTCAAATGAAAAGTCCCGATCTTGTACCATATTGTCATACAATAGATTATGATAATCTCTTCAACTGCAGTGTAAGTAATTTTAAAATTGATTTAGTCATTTATAATAAATGATACAAGATGTATTAAGTCTTGGTATTAAACATAATACTTTTGTAAGATAACATTTTTATTTTTATTTCATAACTTATTAAATTTAACCATTATAATAAATAGGATGAGG